GAGCTCGGCGCTCATCTCAGGCCCTGCAGCTGCTGCCACCGCCGCCCGTCCGCCCGTCGGCCCGTTGGTCTACCCGCAGCATGAGCGGCCTGCGCGTCTACAGCACATCGGTCACCGGCTCCCGCGAAGTGAGTGCACGCCCTGGGCCCGCGCTGGGCACGGGTGGTGGTCCGGGTCCTCAGGAGCCGGTGCCCGGGACCCGCCCCCGCCCTGGGTGCGGGGCATGGCCTCCAGGGTTGGGTGGGGAGCAGGATACACGGTCCCATCCTGAACACCTTTTGGACATCCTGGGCCCTATGCACCCCCACTACCAGGCTGATCCTTGACCATGTCCTTATCTTGCCCTTCCCCTTCTCTACTGAGTGTGTACCTGGGGTGGAGGTGGCCCCTTACCAGCCTTCACCCAGGCCTGCCCTGCCTTCTCCTCACTGAGCTCCTGGCTCTCCCCACCCTGCATTTATCTCACTTCGCTTCATTCTGACTCCCCTACCTATGGTTGGTGATCCCTCTCATTCTGCTCCACCACAAGCCTGACTCATCCTACCAACTCCTAGTGGCCAGAAGCTTCCCCTAGGGTGTGGAGGGGGACAGAGGGACAAAAGCTCCTGGCCACAAGCCCTTTCTCTCTGTCCAGAGTTCCCCTCATAAACTCTCCAGTTTGCTCACTAACCCCTGCCTGCCCTCTGCACCCAGATCAAGTCCCAGCAGAGCGAGGTGACCCGCATCCTGGATGGGAAGCGCATCCAGTACCAGCTAGTGGACATCTCCCAGGACAACGCCCTGCGGGATGAGATGCGAGCCCTGGCGGGCAACCCCAAGGCTACCCCACCCCAGATTGTCAACGGGGACCAGTACTGTGGGGTATGGCCCGGGGGCTGGGGGTGGAGGAGTGTTGTAGGAGGATGCCAGCCAGAGTCGGATCTGAGACAACGCACCAGCACTCAGGTGACCACCTTTCATCCCCTCCCTCAGGACTATGAGCTCTTCGTGGAGGCTGTGGAACAAAACACACTGCAGGAGTTCCTGAAACTGGCCTGAGCCAAGTCAGCCTATTGGACTTCCCGTCACCACATCCCCCACCAGCCATCAACCCAGCCATGAAGGACCTTGTGACCAACTCCCTATTATTCCTAACCTTCTGACTTTGGAGCCCCTCCCCACAACCCAAGACCGTTCTCCTCCCCTAACTGTAGCCCCCTCTCCTCCATTCAAAGGCAACATTCCTTACCCACTAGTCTTAGAAATTGTCTTAAGCAACAGCCCAAGTGCCAGCTGTCCTCAGCCAGGCCCTGAGGCTGCCACCCTGCCTGGCACTGGCTGATGGGCACCTTTGGTGGTTCCATTAGCCAGGGCTCTGCCAAAGGCCCCGCAGTCCCTGTCCAGGAGCACCACAGAAACAATTAAATGTCCCATTCCATTGGCACTGTGTCTTTCTGGTGTGGCCTGGGCATCCTGGGTTCCTGCTCTGAGCAAGGCTGGAAGATGTGACTGTGCCGAGGCTGTGCTCCTATGGGCAGATGGATAGAGCTATCCCATGTATGTCACCTGTGTGTGTGATAGTGCATGTGTTTGGGTATATGTCCAGCACACACATCTGTGTGGACCGAGTTTCTTGAGACCATATGGGTGAGTCACCCTCCAACTCACATGCATGTGATGAAGCGTGTGCCTTGGTGTGGACTGTATGTTTGCATGCCAGTTAACTCGGCTATGCCTTGCTGCCACCTGCCCATGTCCCAACCGATCCGCTAGATGTGGGTGCGTCATGGAAATGCCTACTGCCTGCAGTTCTGCCAGGGTGGGGATAGTGGCTTTGTTGCATAGTGTTGAGGAAGTGTCCCCACATGCTTGTTCTGTGCATGTTTGTGTGCAGGGATCTACTGGCTGTACATTTGCACGTGAGATGCTGCTACCCCAGCTGAGGCTGGGCTGGGGCCAGCCCTCCCGCCCCTCTATCCGCTTAGCCTTTCTGGGCAGAAAGAGGAACCTAGAAGACAAAGACCCAGCAGCCAGGCCCGCCAGCTGGGGCTCGAATTACAGAGAGGGCGGGTCGGCGCCGCCCCCTCCTCGGCGAGCTAGGGCTGCTGGGCTGCACCGCGAAGAGAGTCTCCCGAAGCAGCCGGAGTAGGGGCGGGCACTTTATTCGGGGTCAGGGGCGGGCAGCGGGGCCTGGCGCGCCCGAAGCAGCAGCGCAGCGTTGGGCACCAGGCCCGCGGCCTGCAGTGTGAGAGCGTCGTCGTGGTAGACTGTGGGCGGAAACGTGCTGAAAATTTCAAAGGTGGCGGCATCCACGGCCCTGGGGACCGGACAGGACTGAACGAATCAGGCCGGGTCGTGGGGCCAAAGCCTCCCTGCAGCCTCCAGCCCTGCCCCGTGCCCACCTGGCCTGTGCAAGCAGGGCACGTAAGTCGCCAACAGTGTCTTCGGGCCGCATCAGCAGCAGGAAGGCCTGCTCACCATTCTCAGACTTGATGCGCAGCATGGAGAGCCGGGGCACTGGCGACTCCGGCGACTCCTGGCTCCTGCGGGCTCAAAATCTGTCTATCCCTCATTGGTGGCCCAACCCCAAGGTCCTCCTCTCCACTCTGCCCTCACCTCTCACGCTCAGCAGCCAAGGCAGGTGTCTCCACCACAATCTCCTGGATCCGGGCAGGCAATGGGCAGCAGTTCTGGAAGGCACCAATGGAGTGGACAGAGCCTAGGGCCCTGCCAGAGTCACACCCTCCCCCCAACACTTACAGGGTATTTCTCCCTCACCTGGGATGGATGAGACCAAAGAGCCAAAGCGGAGGGGGGGTGGATGTTCTGTGTAAATGGGCCCAAGGAAGGAAAATGGAAGGGAACCTTTGGGAGGTGGCCCCATCATTCCCTTCCCTCATGCTAGTGGGGGAGACAGTACCCCACACAGTGACCAGTTTGGATGCCTAACCCAGCATGGGTCAGGGAGGGCTCCCCTGGGGCAGTGACACCTGAGCTGTGACTGAAGGATGAGGAGTCCCTGGAAATGGAGTGGGGGAACAAGGATGTTCCAGACAGCACGGGTCAGGGGGAAGGCTTCTGAGAAGAGGTACTATATTTGGGAAAGTGTCAGCAGTTCATGTGGCTGAAGTTGGGAATCAGGTTAGACCAGAAGAAAAGGTTGGAGGTGGGAAGGGGACCAGCAAGGAATGTCTGGCCTTACCTAAGAACCGTTGGAAGTTTTCAAGAGGGAAGAGCCAAGATCCAATTTACATTTTTAAAAGAGCACAGAGCCTGCTGGGGGAGGATGGTTGGCAGGGCAGGGGTGAAGGTGGGAGGCCAGTGACAGGCCACTGCAGTTGTCTGGGAGTGGACACTCTGGAGCCCAGACTAGGACGGTGAGCGGTGGGAATGGAGAGAAGAGATGGATTCAGAAGTTCTGGGGATTGGACAGATCTGACAGGACTGGGCCATGTGTGGTGAAGGCAAAGTCCTGGGAACCCTGGGTTTGGTACCTTTCACAGGTGGAGATGGAGTAGGAGTAGCAGGATGGGGAGTGAGGAGGAGGCGACGGGTTCTATGAAGGCCAGGAAGGGGTATCCAGGATTGAAATGGGTATTTTGGTCTGGACCTCAAGAGGATGGCCTGGACTTGGGCTCACCCCACACCTAGACTCCTCTGACTTTCCCCCTTTTATAGCCATGCCCCAGCATTGGCCAGCTGCTCCCTGGGTCCTCCCTCACCAGCTCCATCATTTCCAAGAGACAGTGGAACAGCCCTGAGGGACTCACCTCTCCATCCAGGCTATCCTCAGGGGACCCAAGCCTGAGCCTCCAGATAAGCCACTGCTCTGGTAAGCTGGGCTAGGGTTGATGGTAAAGCCCCCCAAGAAGGCTAGGGGAGCCATGGCTGGCCTCACCTGCAAGGTGTCCCGGATGGGGCCTCGGACGTCAATCACCTCGCCTTGTCGGATCACACACTTGGGGAGCCTATTCAGAAACTTCTCAGCAGTCATCCTGGAGCCTGCAGGGCATTGGGATCCTTGGCCTGGGGCAGGGACTGAGTGATGGTGGAGGCAGCCACCTGGAGCTTGTCCTGAACAGTGCCCCCACCACCTGGCTCAGCCTCAGGGCTGAGCTCACCTGGGTGCTCCATCTTGTCCGAGGGCTTTCGAATCCTCTGCCAGCCTACCACACGGCCCTCGCCTGGGAACAGGTCCAGCCCATTCTCTGGGTAGACCTGGTTGCGCAGGTCACTCACCTGGCAAGAAGGAAGGGAAACAGCAGCAGGCACAGCTCTTCAGCCCTGGGCTCCATCCCACCCCTGCTTGCCCAAACTGAGGCCCCAGGAATAGGCCCATGGGATGGTCTGATGCAATCCCCGTTTTACAGATGAGGAAGCTGAGGCCCTGGCAGAGAGCGAGAGAGCTGCAGTACATTCTACTCTCACCAACCTGGGCCCTGCTCTTCCTGCAAGCTCCTCTCATCATGCTGGCTGGAGCCACAGTACTGACATCCTTCTCACAGAGCCCCTCTCAGGAGCCGACCAGGAGGGAAGGGATGAGGTAGTTAGGAGAGGACAAAGCCCGTCTTGGCGTGAATTGCCTCAAACACCCCCGGTCATGACTCACGCTATTTTCCAAGCCCTGGTGGCACACACTCCCTCACATGCCCTCATTGTGGAACCAACGCACCAGCCTCTGGGGCACTGCCTCATGTGCTCCCATCACGGCACTCATCTCCCCACCCACCGCCCCCCAGCAGGGGGCCGGCTCCATTTCACATCCTTTGGTCCCAACATTTGCCCACCATGGCACTGCCTTTCACCCCAACCAAGCAGCTCCAGGAACCTCTGGAGGAAGTCAGGCCACTTTTGCATGGACCCTTCACCATTCCTGTGGGGCTGTCTAGGTATCCAGAATGCTCAGGAGGAGGGGCAGTCGTCCCATGCAACTGAAGGCTGTGCCTTCAGGATACCAGCAGGGGGCGCTGCCTGCTGCTCGGCGACACACCTCAGCTGCTGATGTAGCAACTGTGGCCACTGCAGCCTCCCCACTCCCTTCTCGGCTGTTTCAGGCTCATCCTCCTTCTGGAGGTCATCAGACAGGGGTTCCATGAGGTGAGGCACTGGCCTCTAGTCTCAGACTAGATGATGCCTGAGGAAGCACCCCCACCTGCTCCAAAATCGCCACACAGGGAGTGGGTGGTTTGAGGATCAGCCCATCACCTTAAAGGGGACCCCATCAGGGTACAGCTGCTGGAGCTCTGCAGGAAAGAAGCCATCCAGTATGTCTCGGAGGCAGCGCTGCACGGGAAGAGGTAGGGTGAGACCTGGCTGGACCTGTCTGGTGCCCTCCACCTTGCTTTCCATCTAGATGGCAGGCCCTGGGCTTACTCTGTGGACTACATTCTGGAAATAGAGCCCCAGGACTTGGGGGCAGGAGGGGAGAGCTCTGCAAGTTGTACATGAGCCTGGGTGCCAGGGTGAGCTGCACCCCATCGTCTGTGGCTACTGGTGAGCAGAGGTGGGCGACCAGAGCAGCCTGAGGGTACACAGGGCTGTCTCCCCTCCCCGCCACGCCTACCTGTGTGGAGGGATCACAGAAAGGCCGGAAGGGCCCATCGAACATCACGATGCCATTCCGGTACAGCTTCAGTGGGATTGGCTCAAGGCCATGGTGCATCACTCTGCCGGGCACTGGCGTCACCTGGGTTTCACTGTCTATCGCCAGTAGATCCTTCAGGCTGGCCAGCAGCCTGTCAAAGTCCACCTCGGGGGGTACCAGTGAGTCCCCTGGCAAAGAGGATAGACACCCATGAGTCTCTCTTCATGGATGCTGTGTGCTCTAGAGCCCTGGTTTCTGTGGCCCCTTCCCATGCTGGCTGGGGTTCTTAGCATCTCCTTAAGTGACCATCTGGGGAGGAAGGACAACATTAGATAATAATAATCACTGTCTTTTATTGAGCATTTACTTTGTGCTAGGGGTTTAGTATCTATTATCCCACTCTCTCTTCATACCAACACTATGCTGTAAGGGTTCTAATCACCCCTACTTTTCAGATTAGGAAACTAAAGGTTAAAGATAATGGCTAGCCTAGGGGCACATGCAGTCAGTGGCAGGAACAGAATCAGATCCCAGGTCAGACGTACCAGGTACCATGTTAGCAGCTGAAAAGCACAGCGCAGAGTTCCCATCTGTCTGGGTTCAAATTCCAGCTCCTCCACTTCTACCCTCGTGACTTTGGTCAGGTCATTTAATGCTCTGCACCACAGCATTCTCTTAGAAGCAGATGATAATAGTACCAGGATGGCTGTGAGGGTGACCATTCCAAGATGACCATGGAAGGGTTTGGAACAAGCATTCCGTCCATGTTAGTTATTGTTACCAACTCTACTGTGCACAAATGGATGTCAGGCTAACCCCGAGGCCATGAGGCAGGGGTTATTTATCTCCATTTTACACATGAGCAAACAGGCCCAGAGATGAAAAATAACTTGCCCAGGCCACTTGGCAAGTTAGAAGAGGAGAATGCCTGGAGTCTGTTTTTCCCACCCATCTGCACCATCAGGAGAGGGAGGTTGGGGTAGGGACAGATGGCTATTAGAGAGGATGTCAGGACAGCTGCTGGACAGAACAGATATGAGAGAGAGACCTTGGGTTGCACATCTATTTCTGGGTCACAGACTCCTTTGACAAGCTAACTGCTTTGGCCTCCACTTCTGAGAAATGTGTTGTATATACAACTGTTCATAGGGGTGCAGATGGGGTGGTAGAGATAGTCAGGGCAGATGCCAGAGCAGAAAGGGTAGAGGGCAGGTGGGATGCTGGTGGGGGACAGTCCTTGGTGAGATCTGGCCCCCTAGTAAATCATCTGTTAGGGTGTAACCCTACAAAACACCCGTGACTTTCTGGGCCTTCTTGGAAGATGTTTTTCATCAGGACAGCCAGGCTGTGGCAGGATGTGGGTCAGGACTCTGGGGACCCAATTCCTTTCCCCATAGTGGTACATTGGCTGTACCGGGGAAGTACAGATGTGGGTGGCCCTGTTTCCTGTTGCCTTTGAGGCTGCTGAAACGGTAGGCCCCAGCTGGCCTTCTCCTCTCCCCTACATTTCCTACCACTGCAGGGGCTGCACATGCCCCCCACTTCTTTCTGGGGTCTCTTAGAGTCCCTGAGACTCCCAAGAAAAACTCACAGAACATCCTGGGCCTCCCTGGTATGAGTCAGAACAGTATCAAGACACTATCTTCCTTTAACAACTTACTACTTTCAGAACACCTTGGTAAACCTAAAACTAACAGAAAAGCTCATCTCATTCAATGCCTGCTCCCATCCCTATATTCTTACAGATGGTTAATCTAGGCCTCAAGGTCAGATGACCTGGCCCAAGCAGGCCACATGGAGCAGAGCCAAGAGGACCACTCAGACATGCTGACTGCTAATCCAGTTGCCTCCTGGGGCCTGAGCTTTCTCAGGGAGCTGATGGGTTGACAGGGGAAAGGGCAGGTAGAAGCCTAGGGAAGGATGTCAAGAAGCAATGAAAGGGAAAAGAAAAGTTTGCCTAGAAAATCAGCTCAAAGGCTCTCAGCCAGGGCTAGAGGTGAAGAAATGAAAGCAAGGTGGGCCGGGCAGGTATCAGATGCAGCAGAGCAGAGGCAAGACAAGGGGCCAAGGAGAAGGAACCACAGCTCTGGTCAAATCAAGGCTAAGAGAATAAGGCAGGAAGAGCCTGGCATCGCCACCTCGCAGCTGGGAATGCCCAGAGAAGCCTGGACCCATGCAGCAGGTCACATGGGAGGAGGCAGGTCAGAGGTCAAAGTGAGGCATTTCCTCTCTGAGCCACAGCTTTCCCTTCCAGGGATCTGGAGTCTTCATCCTACCCACAAGGTCCAGGTGTGAACTGACTGTAATGATGACTCAGTGTCTACTACCTGCCAGCACCTAGAGACAGGTGTTCCTACTCCCATTTTACAGATGAGGAAATTGGGCCTTGTAAGGTAACATACCCCAGGTCACACAGCTTGCAAGGCCCAGTGACACAGCCTCTGTCCTCAGTGACCACGCAGGCTGCCTCTCAGGGTTAGCTCCTCAGACACTGCTCACTGGTGTTCCTTTCCAACGAGGGGGGCAGTGCAGGGAGATCATCTCTGAGGCCTCATCCGAATTGTGAGAGCCCATGATTTTATTAAAAAGGGGAGTAGTGAGGCTTGGAGATCAAGGCTGAGCTCTCTGGCCCAACTCCTAAGGCCTCAAAGCCCTGGCGCTCCAGCCTGCCCTCAACATGCTCCCCACTCACACTCTGGAGCCACACTGCCAGGGCTGCCACTTCCAAGGTGTGTGACCTTGGGCACGTGGGCCAATGGCTCTGGGCCTCAGCTTCCTCTTCTATAAAATGAGGACAGTAACAGTCCCCACTTCACACAGTTGCTGTGAGGCTCAGAGGAAGTGCCTGGTACACAGTGGCTGTTGCTGTCACTAACACCCCACCCTCCTGTCATCATGGGACTCAAGGCACTCCCTCACCATCTCCCTGGAGAGACCTTGCCAGGAACCCCTCCACCTGAGCCTGAGACCCTGTCCCTCTTGGGTTCCTGGAGCCCTTGGGCTCACTCACTTGCAGTCATCACAGGCTGGTGTCATTCTCTGTTTGCTTATTTGTCTTTCCAACTGCACTGGGGACTACTTGAATGCAGGCTGGAGCATCTGGCCCCAGGCCTGGCCCAGAGTGGGTGCTCAAGCCCTGGATCCATCCCTCTGTCCTGCCATCCAGCAAGTCTGTCTGGAGCACCCAGTGCACTCTCCTAGGGTGACTTTCCCTGAGAGTCGTGGCCATGCCTCTACCGAGCCCTGCCCTCCTCAGGCTCACACTTGAGGGAAAGAGACAGTGACAAACGGTGACAATCACATGTGATAAGTGCCACGGTGGGGCTGCAGGGCCCAGAGGAGGGCCAGACCCTGCCACTACCCACAGGTGAGTGGTGGGCCCACCCCAGGCTCCTTACCATCACAGGAGGACCACTTGCCACTGTGAAATCCCAAGATGGTGCCTGAGGCACCCCAGCACACCCCTCCCAGCACCGCAGGCAAAGGCTGTTGAACAGGAAACAGATGCACTATTTCCACACACCTGCAAGCTGGGCCCTGCTCGGAGGACTTCACCTACAGTTGCTCCACTCTTTAGAGGAGCCGGCTGAGAGAAATTGGGCCTTGAGAGTCTGGTCACCTCCGGGGCCACAAGCAGCCTGTGACACAGGCAGGATTTGACCTCTCTGGCTCCTGCTCTTGAGCATCGTGTTGCCCAGCCCCCTCAACCTGTGCATAGGATCATCCCAGCAGACTGGGACCCGCCAGGCCAGGGCGCCCAGGCACGGCCCGCCATCACTTGCATGTACACATGCCCTGGCCTTTGGGCCAAGCCCTGTGCTGGGCACTCTGGAGCATAGCGGGGGCCAAGCGACAGATGGACATGTGACTATTCACCTACCACGTAGGAGCCCGTGAGAACACTCTACGTGCACGATGGCATTCAGTCCTCCCGGTGGCCTGGGGGTCAATCACATCATCTCCTCACTTCACAGATGAGGATGTGGACTCAGGTGAAGCAGTTTTCCCACACAGGGTCCGACCTGACTCAGGCCCCCCTCCTCAGCCAGAGCCTTTAAGGCTTTCACTCTAACACTGAGCCCCTAACCGCATACCCAGGGCAGCTGCAGGGCGGCATAGTGCCTGACACCGAGCAGGCACTCCACCCACATTTGCTGAGCTTAGCTTCAAAGGAGGGTAGAAAAGGAGGCAAGGCACCTGGGGTACACAGCACAGGTCTGAGCTGGTGGGAGTGAGAGTGGGAGGAGCCCAGCTTGCCTGGGGTCTAGGCCAGGCCAATTCCAGGGGCTCAAGGGCAGCCCAGGGACAAGTGAAGCTGGCTGCAGCCACAGAAGAGTCAGCGTGGCTTCCAGAGCAAGAGCAGCAGGGGTGGGAAGAGGTTCCCACACAGATGCAGGAGCCTGGGGCTTGGGGGGAAGGGGAAGATGAGGAAGAGGGCAGGAACTTGGTAAGGGGTGGGTGGAGCTCAAAGGGGGCAAAGAGTCAGAGTCGGCTGGAGCTCTCAGCCCTGAGGCTAAATACCTGACCCAAAGGTGGTGTGACCAGAGCAGAACTGCCTCTTTCATGTCTCCGCATACCCTGAAGCACCTGGCAGGGCATCCTATCCCATGCTTAATATACCAGTGGGAAGGGTGGGAAGGGGTGGGAGGCCTGAGGCCAAGCCCTTGCAAAGCTTCCTCTCTGCTGGGCCCCTCTTCCCTAAGGCAAGAGTCCCAGTCTCCAGAGCACTTGAATCAGCCCCAGTTTGCCCAATACAGATGCCCCAGCTCACCTATCCATGGACCTGCTGCCCCAGGGCCTATGGGGAGTGGTACTCAACTGAAGGAGAGTCAAAAAAACAAGCCAGAGCATCAGGGCCAGCCTGAGGCTGGCTTCGTGGACCCGAAGGCCCTTGGGGCAGGAGCAGGCTGGCACTTGGGGACAAGGCTGTGGGGAGAGGATGGGAAGGAGCCAGAAAAGGGGGGAGTCCCAGAAGGAAAAGCTACTAGAAATGAAAAACATGTTGTTCATCTGGTAGAAGAGCTAAATCAAGGCCCCTCCATGTTGGATAATCAAAGAGCAAAAGAAGAGGACACACAGAGGGAGCTTGTGGCCTGGCGGCTTTCACAAGTGGCTTCAGAGCCATAGTACTCTGCGCATAAACAAACAACACAAAGCAGAGTGGGGGCTGCTCTCTTCTTTGAGGGGAGAATCCACAGAGCCAGGTCTGGAAACCAGCTGTCTGGTCTGACCCCTTCCCCAAAGGAGCAGGGAGGCCCCCAATGACCAGGAGGAAGGCTCCCTCCAAAAAGCCAGCAAAGCCTCAGCCCTCACCACACAGGGGCTGGGGTGGGGCTTGGGGGGTGCAGTGTTGGCAGGCCTCTGGCCCTAGATCCCAGCAACCAACTTTCTTACAGCTTCTAGCAGTCACCTGCCAGAGTCTCACCTCTCACCCGGGCAGTGGTTCCCTGGAGAACTTCCCACAGCATTCAGCCCAGGGCTCAGCTCCCAGCATGACCCAGGTGCCAGGCTGCTCCCCAGCTTTGCCATGTCCCAAGTGGGCTTAGTATCGTCCCCCACAGCCATGTGCCCCAAGGTCATCCCTGATTCCTCCCACACCCTCCCTAATATACAATCAACCACCAAGGCCACGGATTCCCCTCCTAAATTCTGCTCTGCCCCTTCTCACCAGCCCCACCAGCATCATCCTCATGCTGGGCATCATCTCATCTTTTGCCCGGATGACTGTAACTGCCTCTCAGGGGGCTCTCAGCCTTAAGTCTTACCTCCTTCACTCAAAAGTCTTCAGACTCTTAAGTGCCTCAGTTTCCCTGCCTGGAAAATGGAATAATCCCTGGCCCATGTCAAAGCTATTTATGAAAACACTTTGAAAGCAGCAAGTGTGGTACAAATGGGAAGTGATGTTTTTGGAACAAGAGTGAGGGGTTGTGCCCCAAGATTTAAGGGGTCTGGCCAAAGTGTAAGAAGTGGGACTCTCATGTTTTCAGTCTGGGTTTTTGCCAAGCAGGAAACTTACGAAACCAAGAGCATGCTGTCATCTTTCAGTCTCCTCAGGAGCCATACTAACGCTCCCATGAGACAACCACTGCCTTCTGACAGCGGAAAACAATAAGAGCTCCCAGTTGTGAGGCTGACAACATGCAAGACCAGGCTGGGTGCTGTGTCCAAACCACTGACTCCTTGTAACCCCATGGGGAAGAGTGCACCCCCATCTACTGATGAAGAACTGGAGGCTCAGAGAATGGAAGTCGAGTGCCCAAGCCACACCTGGAATAGGTGGTGGAGTGAGGTGAGGACCCAGGTGTGAACAACTCCAGAGCCTGGAAAAGTACTTTCTGGGCAACGACCTCTATTCTTTGAAAAGAATGGACCCAGCTTTCAGAAATGGCCAGTTCTAAGTCCCCAAATCTCCAGACTGCATCCCTCGGGATAATAGCAGTTAAGTTAAAAATAAAAAGTGGTGGAGTCCCATAAAAGCAGGTAGATTTCAACAGTTTGCTCTAAATGAACCTGGAGAGGGAGTCCAAAGAGGGGGTCGAGCCCTTGGACTGAGGGGCAGCTTCCAAAGCAGAGGGGCTGCTTTTAAAGGCCACAGCTTTTGGATGGGTGACATTTTGTAAACTATGGTGCCTGAGACAAATGAGGTCTTATTGCGTCTTCTATCTCTGGAGCCTTAGAAAGACGAGCACAAAGAGTCTAGATTAGGCGGTCAGTGATGGAGGCGGAAGCCCTTCCTTCCTGCCCCTGTGTCAGGGACACTGTGTAGGAGGTCTTGGGACACCTCGTGCTGGGAAGTAGGTGCACGAATGAGACGGCCTCTGAACAGCTGCGGGCCATCAGAAGCTGACGGAGAATTCCCTTCACAGGAGGGACCGGGGTAGACTCCCAACTCTACCTGGCTTCCAGAACTTCTTGGCTGTCATCCAGTCCCTCTCGCCATCCTCTGAGTCTGTCTGGTCCTCCGAGTCCTCCTGATCCATGGGCTCGCCCACCCACTGCAGGCCATAGTCACCGAGAAACCGCTGGGGGAGAGAAGAGGGAGACGGGGGGCCCTGTCAGCTCAGCCTCTCCCTGGAGAAAAGGCACCATCAGCCCAGCCCCCAGCCTCGGACCTCAGCTCCCAGAGCCGACTGGATAGAGGAGACTGGCCAGAGGTCTTGGCCACTTCCTGGCTGTGACCTGGGGAAGCCACTTCGCCACCTAGAGCCTCAGGCTCCTCCTTGTAAAATGGAGTTGACAGCGCCTGCCCCATGAGCTCATGAGGACCACTAAGATAATCCACATCATGTACTTTGCACAGGGCATAAGGAGGAACTCCCTAAAGGCAGCCATTATGGAGGTGGGGAGCCATGAGGGTGTGGCTGGCAGTGACACACCGCTCTGCAGGTCTGAGAGGACATGTCCACCCACACGTGGCCTTTGCCATGGGGAAACTTCCCACTGCTGCTCCCTCATCTCCCTTCCTCTCCTCAACCCACTCCAGCCTGGCCTCCATCTCCACAACTCACTGAACCTACAGCACAAGCAACCAGCCCAGTGCCCAACCCAGTGGGCACACTTCTGTCTTCACCTCTGGCAACATATGCTCTTCCTTTTCAGCTTCAAATTTCTACCCTTAGATGTCTAACAGGCCTCTCAAAATGAACTTGGCCCAAACAGTCATGATTCCCTGCCCCAACCTCCCAAACCTCTTCCCTTCTGGCCTTCTGGTCTCAGTCAGTGGCACCCCCTCCACCTGGGCCTCATCCATAACCCGTTCCTCCCCTACCCCGCCACAACCCACAAAGCCCGTGGCACCACCTCCAAATCAGACTCCGTCTACTGCGCTGCCTCTCCTCTCATTCAAGCCCAGTCATCTCCCTCCTGGAACTCAAGCTGTGCTTCTACCTGCCTTCCCCGCCCACTCCTCTATCTGAAATCCTCCTGTGCTTT